GGGGGGAGGTCGGGGTTCTATTACTCTCTATACTTTTTAACCCCTTGGCTCCTCTCTCTGCTCCGACGTCAATGCGTAAGAAAACAACGACGACAAACGCACCACCTCTCCGGGCGAAATGACTTGAGAGGGGAGATGGCAGGGGGTATGAGGGGGGGGGAGGAGAGTGAGGGGTGAGGGGATTGGGACGACTTCAGTTAAAAGGATGGGGAGTGGGGAGAGCGCGGGGTGCCTCATCAACGCCCGCGGTCGGAGGTGCCAACGGGCTGCCACCGCCTGTCAAAACACTCAACTCACCCTCTGGACACACGAGGAGCGAGAGAGAGCAAGAAGAGGTAGCCGCATTCTCTCATGCATTTTGATTCCCCTTCTTCGAATTAAGGATCAAGGCGAGAGCTTACGAAAAAACATGTCATTCGAAAGCGACAAAAACACGAACCGCTCAGAAGTAAATACTAATGTGTGACGTGTGACGTTACCCCTGCGCACCGTGTTATTCGCAAATAACGAGGACAGCGTGAATTTTCTGCAGGTACCCGTAGCTTCGCGTAGCTCAGCGCACTCGGCCGTGGCTTGAGCAAGGCTCGCCGAGGTGGGGCGGGGTAGGACGGCGGCTGTCCGGCGGTATAACTACCAAGATAAAGTGCGACTGCGTAACAATACTCCCCCCCCCCTCAGGTGTTCGCGCACGCGTGCGCACCTGTCGGCCCACGATCGGCCCCGCTGCTCCACAAGTGCCTGCAGCTCGTGTCCTCGCCCACGGGCCGACCACGGGCTTGCTTACCTTGCTGCCACTCGCCGGCGTCGCCGTCGCTGCCGACCACCTCGCGCACCAGGCGCCGCCGCGCCCGGGGCCGGCCCGGCGCGCCTCGGTGGTGGTCACGCTGGCCGCCGAAGAGTATCCGTAACAGCGACCGCGGCTCAGCGCCGGCCTCGGCCAGGGGGGGCATGGCGGGCGCCGGGGGGTCGTCGTCGCACTGCGCGTCGCACTATACTACTTGCTATCACCACTGCACCTCCGGGGCGTACCGAGCTCCCGCCCACCGCGGGGAAGTCCGGGCGAACATCGCGTCCACGAACAGGCACTCGAGCACCGCGATCAGCTGATCACCGGGGGGCGGGGAGGGCGAGGCGTCGCTGCTCGGGTCCCGCGGCGCGTCCGCCGCTACAGACCATCAGCGTGCTACTGCCGGCGTACGCTAAGGCCTCTCGTACGCCGGGGCGTGGCGTCGGGTGGCGCCGCGTGGCAGCGGGGCGGGGAGGGGGCGGGG